AGTATTCAGAATCATTAGCACATATATAATTCTGAGTATCTTAACCACTTGCCGCTGGGGTTGGATGGCATGTGCATACATACCATGCACACTGTGTATTTAATTTAGTATTTATTTTTACATATAGATGGCTCCACTACATACTAAGTTAACAATGAGCCAATTACGAGAACTACCTGTCTCACCTGTTTACCCTATTCCTTAATTTTGATAATATTTTCTAGTATTTAATACTGGTTGGTAATGTCAATAACAATATAGTAATTATATTGTTTATAACAAAAATAATAGTCGATATTGATAGCATTAGTAAAAAAAAGTATTTTCACGCTATTTCAAGGAAAGGTGAGGTCACAAGATCTACTAATTGACTCCTTTGAAGCTAAGCACTGACAGAGCCATCTATGTACAGAAACATTTAACAAAGTAATACTAAAATGAATGCAACAATTTCCTGTTGGCATTGGGTTAACATATCTATCAGAATAAAAGTTATAACATAAATGGGTTTGTCCAATCTACATACACAATAACATCTTCACTCATCATTTCTAAATAATGCAGAACTTATTACACCTCTTCTTACCTGTTGTGGATAATATCTTTAATGATGCACATAGTGGACTCGGCAATGTTGTTCATATGCTGGTCATTTAGTAACTTTTGCTTCCCATAGGCTATGCTCCATTCCTGCTTCATCTCCACCAGATTTTTGAAATATCTGTTGGTAATTAAAAGCATTAAATATAGGTTATGATGTACTTGGTTCATGACAGACTGATTCTATCCAAACTGCCCGATATCTAAAATTTTGGCATTTCACAAACGGATACATTAAAAAATTAATTGTATTAGTTTGTATTCTCTAAAATGAATATGAGAATAAAGCTAGTGAAGCACAGGCTCTCATACAAACTTTCTGTCTGAACCTAACCAACTACCCCCAATTATTCCATTCCTGGCAACCACTATGCAGATGAAAATGCAAGCTCAGTGTTGATCTGCTTTTTTGTTTTTCTCATTCTCACTTCATCTACTATTCCTTTACCACTTTCTCTCCCCCAATCTTATCTTCTCTCTCTCTTTCATTTATCCATGTCCTCTTGTTCCCTCTCCATCTTCCTCTCTCCTCTCTATCTTCCTCTCCCTTTCCTGTTCCTTTTCCCTCTCCCTCCCTTTCTACCTCTTCTCAACATGCACTCATACCCACATCTACTTATTCCCTCCCTCAACCATACCATCTCTCTGCCAAACAAACTAGCATGTCTGCATACATTAGGTAAATATCTATCCATAACTTATACCAATGCATTTTGCTTTTATAATTCATAAGCTTTTCCTCAAATTTTACCTGCTACTATTTTAAACCTTGCATCCTTTCTATTATAATATAGTATGTCACATAAAGATTACACTGGGAAATTACCTAGTGTATTTGTCATATTGCTGGAACTCTGTCCTCTGAGAAATAGATTCCCAGAGATATTCAAACTTATCAGGAGAATCTGCATACACCAACTGCTGTGCTGTATCCATTAGCAGAGGATGGTGCTCCTTCTTGACTTCATAGTACTCATTACAGAGGCATTGCCAGACTTGCTGTAGTACACAGTAGTTGCTAATGAAAACCTCAGATTCTGGCCAAATAGCCCTTAGTGCTTTTTGTTTTGATTTGATTGTGCTGGTTCGGAAGCAATGTGGATGTTCTTGCCCATAAAAAGCAGCCTTGCCCAATGCCTTCTTCAGCATGTAAAATCCTAGGCAGTAAAATGATCATTAAAATTAAAAAAGATAGAATGAGAGAGAAACTAAACTAAGATCTAATCACAAACCATTTCAAATTTTTCATCAATCTCTTCCATATTTCACTAAGTTTGCATATGAAATTCTTATGATGTACTCAGACATTTCCTAGAGATAATTTAAATAATGTTTTACAATACACTATTAACCTACTATTTATAAGATTTACAATACCTGCTCTATAACTTCCTTCTTCTTGGGAGGATGTAAAAATTACACCCAAGGGAGCAGCACCAGCAGGTCCAGCACAAAGAAGAGATGTCACTGCAGTGTTCATTTCATTTACATGGCAAGTTGTGTCTACAAACACCACATCACCTGCTTCCTTGAACTCTTTATGTACTCTACGCATGAAATCTGTTATCAAAACAGCTGTGAATCCATTTTCACTGAACTCAAGTTCAATTGTTGAAGATGGGTTTTCCTTTGCATATTTTCTAATTACAGAATCCATGCTCAGGTCAGCTATTCTATCACAACTTTCTTTTAACCACAGATTGTACACAAAAGATATTGCTCTATTAGTTGGATTAACAGCACTACATCCCATGTCTGCAAGACGTAGATTAGTCTTGTCCTCATGAAATCTTGAAACTTGAGCAGCCGTCATGCCTGAAAGGAAAACAGAAACTTATATGAGCAAGACAACATAAAAAAATACATGTAGTTTGCACAATCATGAGAAGCATTTACAGAT